CCCAGTCTATGCTAAACTCTTTGTGAACATGTTGTGTGCTGAATAATTGACTGGAGGTCTGATCAAGTCCCAGTGGCAGCTGGTCCAACCAACGCCATGTCGCTATCACACTTCATCACTTCATTTCAAGCCATTGATAATATCTGTCAATGGTCATCATTTGTGGTGGCACCGAATTCTAGTAATGTGTTGTAACCAAACACAGCTTTGGATCCAAAAGCAGAACACAGACTAAAAATGATGAAAATAAAATGTATTTATTGCCAAAAAATCAAGCAATACAATCCATCTCTCTTTTGCTGTTGAAGATTGTTGGCTGAGGTGAGCTGGAAACTAAAGAGGCCAGAGTTGAGTAAGTAGTTTGTTGGTGAGGCATGGCAAGCAGAATGCAGGGTGAATGCAGGTGGAGTGAGATCACATAAGCAGACTGAACAATCTGGCAGAAAATGGCTGAAGACCCAGGGTTTAAATACTGGAGGCAGATGAGTTGATTGGCAGCAGGTGAGTCAGATTCATCAATCCACGCCCCAGGATACACCAACTCACAAACACACAAAAAAGGAAAAACACAGCTGGCCAAAAAAATCAAAATCCCTGACATAATGGAAAGCTAACAGTCAGTTAGTGTAAAGTATAAAGAAGTCTGTACTAACAACAGTGCATTATTGTATATCTGGGCCACTGCATGCTGAGGAGGGAATTCGTTAGTCAGGCAACGTAGTTGCTGGATTGCAGTGAAGCTGGTAGAGTATGTCTTTCAAAGGCCATGTCCACACGTACATGGGTATTTTTATAATCTGAGTTTTCCCTTCCGTTTTTAAAAAAAATATCCATCCACATGAAAACGCGAAAGCATGCTATGAGGCACTGTCAAGAGCATGCCAAGCCAACAGGTGGCGATATAATCTCAACCGTAAAGCCATGTTGGCCAATCAGAAGCCTGAAAAAGTTTCCAGTAGGCGGAGATAACAGCGCATGCTCCGACGTCACAAGCCAAAATGTCTACACGATAGGGGGGAGTTAGGGGTGTGCCCGAAGTGTGAAACAAATAACGCGTTATATGGAGCCACTAAAAGGTTAGCCGCTTGCTAGCGGTAGCCTGTTGCATTACAGTACATGAAAGTTCACTTACCACATACACAGAGTAAGGAGACATGTCTGATAGGACGATGGCGAATGATTTGTGTTATGTATGTGATACTGTCATTCTCCATAGTGCCTGTAGGTGGCACCACCACTTTAGTAATTATTAGTAGTTGTGTTCCTTTAAATAAAGCAAGTTAAGAAGTTAAGTACCACAGTGTGGCTGTGTTATTTATCGTAGTGCATTCAAGAATGTATTCTACATGTTATGATAGTGAAAACATAACATATTTGGCGACGAGGTGGATTAATTTTCCAGGAAGCTACCACAGTGAATCGTGAGTAGTTAGGCGCACCTGAACTTTTATTTTATTTTCTCTGCGAAGCTAAAGTGAGCTAGGTTAGATAGAATGGCTGTTATTATAGGCCATATTGAAGCTTTTGATGAAAGTGTCGAACCATGGACCACCTATATTGAAAAATTTGAGTACTTTGTAGAAGCTAACAGCATTGATGCCAAAAAGAAAGTGCCTGTGCTACTCAGCGTGATTGGAGGAAAAACATATGGATTACTCCGAAGTCTGATTGCGCCGGATAAGCCGAGAGAGAAGAGCTTTAAACACATCACAGACACTCTACAGCAACATTTTTCTCCGAAGCCCCTGATCATCGCGGAATGTTTTCGTTTCCATCGGCGGAATCAGGAGGAGAGCGAGTCGGTGACACAGTATGTTGCAGTGCTTAGAGGACTATCAGAACACTCAGAACACTGGGGACATTTGGATGATGCACTTCACGATAGATTTGTGTGTGGCTTGAAGAGTGAGGCTACTGAGGCTACACAGTTGACTGAAACTACGCTGATGTTTCAAAGAGCAGTGGAGTTGGCGGTCTCCATGGAAACAGCGTCACACGAAGCGCACCAACTCAGCGGATCACTGA